CCAGTGTAGATTTACAGAAAAAATATATTTTCATAAATGTAATCAAATGGGACCTATCTTTCCGGAGATGTTCTTTTTGTACAGCAGAAAGAGATATCTTGCAGCTGCCTAAGACAATGTTGTCGTTACTATGATGCTTTTTTTCCTGAGCTGCTCTATTATGCTCAAAGAAAAACAATAGACTCAGTGTCTTTTTAACATTACAATAGGCATCAAAGGGATGCTCTGGGAGGGCAGGTGGCCTGCAGAATAATTTCTCTGTTAGAATGTAATCCACAAAGTGAGACACAGTGTGAAGACTGAGCAGTGCGATCCTAGGGATATATAAAAAATAGCTGACCTGCTTCGAGGCTCTGCTGAGGTTGCCATGACGTGACCTGCTTCTTCCATGCTTGAAGAGTCCGAAGACGTCTTGTGATGCCATAATAATGCTTTGGGGGGATATTACAATATGGGATGGCTTACTAAATTTGGATAGAAAGCAAGCATAAAAATGATGACCTTTGAACTCATACCACATGATGGCTGCAAGGAGGCTTTGACTCAGAATAGCCAACATGTCTACTCCTAGGTAGAAAAAAGGAGTGCACATGATCATGGAAATAGCAGCTGCTGGATGATAAAAGAACCACTGTTAATAGGTCCATCAAGAGTCATGCCAACCTTGGCTCCTTCTGAACGCACTATCCTCCCTACTGGAAAGAAGACAAGTTGAATGTTCCCATACCTGGCATGAAAAAGGGAGGAGTAGAGCTGGGGATCCATAGCTGGGGTTAAATGTCAAGCTCATGAAGGACACAGAAAGGATACATCATGCATGCAAAAGAGGAGGGAGGCAAAGCAGGAGGAGAGGAAGGGGACAGGGGAGCAAATAAATAAGGACAATGCACAATTTATGAAGACAAGACAGTAGTAAGTGCTATTCACCCAGAGTGTAAATTGGTATTGATGTCACTACGCAGCCCAGCCAAAAAATAATGATGCTGATAATTTAGGGCTTGCACTATATCTCACTCAAGCCACAGGCCCATCCAACAGCAACTCCGACCCTGCTGCCTTCCTCCCCTTCTCTATTCATTGGTGTCCTCCTAAATCAAATACACTCAATGCTGATTTGATTATATTCCCTGATTTTATTTATCATCCATTGCTCACTCTTCTCTCCTTGCAAGTTCTCAGTGGGCACCTCAGTCATTTTCTAGTGTCTGGCAGTACTCGGAGGAACATGCCTGTCTTCAGGCGACAGGAGTTAGAATCCCTACCAGCATTCATGTATCCTTCATAGTCCTCATCTGTCATCCTTTAATCTTGCCTGTTTTATGCTCCAGAACCCAGCTACCCAGTCTTGACTTCCCAGGTTTATAGCCCTGACTTACTTCCCTCCTGTAACATTTTACTGCTTGGTTATTGGCCCCCAGGGGCCTCATTTACACAAGCGCTGTTTTCACTATGGTTAAGACTAATTCATTGGGTTACAGTTTGCTCTTGCATCCTACGTTCTGTTCTGTTTCTAGTCTCCTCTTTCCTGCAGAGAGGCAAAGGATTCTCCAATGGACAGGAGATTTATTTTCTTTTCTTAATTATGGTTATTAATCCCCTTTTGGGAGTTTCAAAGCCTGAGTTAAATTCTCCCTCTCTGTATGACAAGATTCTGCCTGTTTCTCTTAGATGTCTGTGTGTCCTCTGGGCTCTTCATATGGTCTGTGGGACCTTGAGAGGGAGACTTCATTTGGGACCTGTTCCCCTCATCCAGTTTGTTGTTACAGGGGAATGTCAGGCCACAGTCCCAGGAAGGCTTTGGGAGTGAGATACATCCCCTATTTGTGCCTCAGGTCCAGCTGACAATACTCTGTTCCTAGAAGATGTTAGTGTGTGTTTTCTTTTTTTTTTAATTTATTTTTTTTCATTAGGGAAGAAAATACTTTCCCTGCAGTGATGTTAATTTCTTTACCAGGGTGTTATATCGTTACCATATGACTATTAGATACCAACCTTTCTACTGTACACACCTGTACAGATATATAGATAAGCATATACAGATGAACACACACACACACACGTAGATATTGGTGTAAGTTTATGACTCATTTCAATAAATCTCCCTATCCAGGGTTCATTTTCCAGTGCCATTTCCTTTCACAGCTCCAACTCCAGCTGTATTTGCAATTTATTTTGTTTATGGGCCCGTTTTCCTATAAAAATATGGCACAACCAATGCCCTTCTCTTACACTGACTAAGCCACATCCAGAGAATCAGAAAGGGGACGTAGTCAAGGGCCACCTGGTCAACCTACCTGTGGACCCCCAGGACTGCATATAGGATGCATAAAAAAGGCAAGACTGATGCTACTATGGACAGCGCTAAGTGTGACCCAGAGAAGCTACATAACCCGGTGTGCAATGAGCCCTGTCTGGGGTTACATGCCCAGCATGAACTAATTCAACTGCCTAAGCAAAGGAAAGAGGAACTATCTAGAGTTGCATTAGAGCCTCCAACATGCAAGGATCAGGACCACCTGCTGAATTCCGTTTCAATGAACTATTTAGCATCAGCTTAATCCCAAATAGTGCCATAAACATGGCAATTACACGAAAAAGGAATTTGTAAATAGTACAGTCCTTTGCTGTCCTCTCTTTGTTTTATGGGATCAAAAGCTTATTGCCAGCGTTTATTTATTAGACTTCCCAACCAATTGTAAGAGATAAATAGGTATTATCCCCATTTTATTAATAGATAAATTGAGGCACAGAGGAAATTAAGCAGGTTGCCTAAGGTCATTTAGTGAACAATTCAGGAAAAGGATCACAGGACCTATTCTTCTCTTCTAATTTCTGTGCTTCTGAATGGCATACAGCCTCCAGGGGCTTGGTACACACTCATAAATGACTTTCCAAAACTACTAATAGCGGCATAGCTCCATTCCTACTGAAGTCAGTATACTGTGAGCATAATCAGATCTGTTTATTATCTTAAATGGCAGCAAAGCTAGAGCAGCACCAAATGCTGTTGGAAATCTCACTGAAATGCAAAATCAATAGACCTTCAGAGGAACCAGTTATTTAAAAAAAAATAGCCTCATCAAAAAAAGCAAAACGAAAAAATTAGATGAAATTAAATGGAATTTCAGAAATGAACACACAATCACAGGAAAGGAAGGACCACAGAGAAGCAAGAGTTCATTACGTTACAGTATGTTTCTAATCTGTGATATAGGCTTCTGGCTGCTATGGGATTACACATAAATAATAATATGCCACAGCTGCAATTTTTGTTATTAAATTAGCTTCTTTGGCAACAAGGACCACAACCAAACTATTAAAGCCCATCCTACCCTTACACCACACACCTCTCTCTTCTTTCAGCCACATATGCATCATACACTTAGATGAAAAAAATCTCCCTTTTTAATAAACAGGGATATACCTAAACTGCTAGTTGGCAACCTGCACCTAACATACTGTGGTCATATGACTCTCAAGAGGCATGTGATCATCTTCAGTTTCTGTTCCTCACGCTCCTTCCTCTTTCTCATCCCACTGCCCAGCATCCCTTTTCTGCCCTCAGAGACATGCTGCGTGCAGCAATGTTTTCACTTGATGGCTGATGGGGTTCCCCCGCGTGGAGGTGGGAGGAAGAAAAAAATCACAGCGCTCTTGCTGTATGTGTCTGCTTCCTGGCCTGGCAGGACAACCCCAGCATCAGTGCCAGGAATGCTCACTGAGAGATAAGGGCAAGTGTGCTGCAGGATCCCCCTCAGACCCAGCTGCCAGCTGGTACAGGCAATAAAGACACAACACATCATAAATTCCTGCAAACCTCACTTGTTTAAGGCCACAGAAATCCACGTCTAATGTATTTAGCAGTTAAAAAATGAAGGAACTTGAAACCTGACACATGTGTTTCTAGTCAGTGGGCAAAAATACAGCCCCAGACTCCTTCATCAAAACCCTGTCAGGTGGTCTAGCAGCAACTACCTGTGAGGTTTGGAGATCGAGATCCCGGCTCCAAAGGAGGCCCACCCTGCATAATATCAGTTTCAGGAGGAACCACGTCCTGCCATCCGACCCACCTTCGGCAAAGGGCTGGGGCTGACACAGAGGCACATATCACATGTAAATGGAACCCCAGAAGGGCTATGCTCTCACATCAGTACCCAAACCTGAATGTTTCACAGATTACCATTGAAAAAGTATAATAGACTCCACCGCTGCTATATGCACTAAACGCTACGTTGCTCATTTGACAACACTGTAGAGACCTGGATTGGTAAAACTGACTCTCCCTCCCTCCGTGAGCTCAGCTTACTGACTCCCGCAGACCTATCCATATAAGCATTAATTCCTTCTCTGAATACGGGATTAAATCTCTAGCTATTAGACTCTAAAGTAAAATCCAAAATGATAAAAGTAGCTTTTAGATGGTACATTAACCAGCTGGGTAGTTCTATCCAGAGAGTTCCCCATCCCGTGATCAGACTGTGTATGTCCCGTACACTACCAGATCCTAGACTGACATCTATAGCGCATGCATCAGCAGCAGTTTACCATCGTGCTTCTCTCTGTGTAAAATCTGTCTTTGGCAGCGTTCCCTAACTCCTTCCAATTCACATGGAGCAGAAGGGGGGAGTACAGTAGGTCCCTGAACGTGCATGCAGTGCTTGTCTTGCAACAGACGTATGATATACTTAATTTGTTTAAATGTAGGTTCAGACATAAGGGAGAGTAGTACAAGGATTAAGGCAGCTAGCAACTGTCTCGATGGTAAAGACTTCAGGGAGACATGTTCTAGGGACAGCATATACAGTAGAGCTGACAGGTGATTTTTGAGGGCTACAGACATAGGTGTGCGGACTTTGAGGTGGCAAAAAAACACTTCATACACACCCAGTAATCTTTTCTGTTACCGCAATTGTTCAGAGAGAGAAGGACCCAATGTTACAGCATTCCTGTGTCCAAAGAGAGGCTCTAAGTTTCAAGTGAGAAGAGAACGTGTTGCATACCTCACTTTTGTTTATGATCCAAATCAGCATTAACAACGTAAAGAAGCTTTGCTTTGCAAGCGCTTGGTAATCCAGGCTGGAGTTTTCCACTCGCTGTGTTCAGTTAACCTAGGAAAACAAAGGGAAAACTTAAATAAAAAAGGTCCATTTGAGAGGAAGTTGCTGAAGAGCAATTACTAAATGGGAAGATGGGCAAAGGCTCTCCCCTTTTTGCACTATAACCTCACTTCCAGCCAGAGCAACAAGGCCTAAACGCGAATCTTATGGTGAAATGAATGCTAAGGTACTCCCCCCTCTGCAGTCTATTAGAGGAGAGGATGACTGGTGGCTGAAAGTCCAAAGGGATACAAAACTGAGAAGACTTTAACTGGAAAACTGAAAACAGCAATCGCAAGCAGAAAGTGAGAGCGCGCTGAACTCTGGGTCACCATTGCTGGAATAATTCTCGCATGCACCACTGGCTAAGTGACCTCCCTAATAATCCACTTGAGTCATGGGGAGGGGGCAAGGAAGACGGAAAAACACCCTCAGAGTGTGCATAAGCTTGATTTTGCACATACGTGAAGGTAAACTGAACAAAAATCCAGTCCATTCTAAGTCCCAGCCAATGTCCCTCCAACCCCCTCTCTTTCCCCAGCCTCACAAAGAATCAACAAAACAGTAGGCTCTCCCTAGTTCCCTCGACTTCCGCTCCCACGTGCTATAAGACAGACTGTAACTGAAAAGGCATAGAGGATCTCAGAAAATCAGCTATCTCCAGAGCAAATCCTTGGGACAAAAGAGTCTGAACATTCCATACCAGACGCCACTCGGGGCTTGGATTTGCAGCAGAGCTTATAGCTTGGGTGGTAAGGCCTGGTTTGCAAGCGGCTAAGCAGCCACAATCTCTTGGACTTCCAGCAGTTGCCGTGGGTGCTCTGCGTTCTAAATAGATGGTGGATGGAATGAAAGTAGCAGGAGCCCCCCCCACAGGACAGGTGGCAGGAGGGAAAGGAGACTCAAGAGACAGGAGCCATTTCTTCCCAGAAACTCTCGTTTCCCCCTTTCCAAGTGAGAACTTTCTCAGCTTTGCACTGACACACCGCAGTATGTTGGCACACTGAAACAAGGGCTTGCGTTCTTCCATGAAACATAAACCGAGGGCAGGAGACCACATGAGCCAGAATTCAGGGCAGATCTCCCCCGAGACGTATCTGTCTTAGCACCTCCTGTTCCTCCAATACTGTTATGATCAGAGGAAAATCATAAAGAACAGCCCTTCCTTCGTCATAGGATGATAAAAGCCTTATCCAAAGGTCCTTGAAATTGGTATGAAGATTCCTATTGACTACAATAGGATGTGGGCCACTGCAGCCTCTCTTCCAGGGGATCTAAAATCCAGCGCAGCAGTCATGCCCTAATCTGAAATGTTTTCTGATCGTTCTGCTCGCTAGTAACAACCCTGCCACCAAAATTGTGCCATTTTTCCCAAGAGACCTGACAAAAATTTGTGTAGATTGCACAGACTCCAAGAAGTTAAAAGCCATTTTTTTTCTGAATACATTCTGTGTGACTCTAATTTCCAGAGCACTAGCTATAAACCCACGTCATTATTTACTTTCTTAAAGATAACATGGAGCCAGCTCCTCTCTGTCTCCCTCTCTCTGTCTGCCTTGCTGCCTTTTGGAGGCATCCTTTGTGACTGCTGCATGGCTCAGTAATTCCCAAGTCAGTGAATATATGGAAAATCCCTGTCAAACAATGGCCAGGGAGAGGGAAGGAGGAAAGCTCCATTCACCACCAGACTTGGTTCTCTCTCGGCTCCCCCCCTTCTCCACACCCAGACGCCTCTGTGGCCACCTTCCCTGCCTCCTTGTTTTGTGTGCGGAGCAGCAGAAGCGGTCACGCTCCACACACGTTCGGGGGGAAGGCGAGGGGGGGAAAGCGAGCAGCAGAGGGGGCAAGGAGGGGGTCACAAGGGAACAGAATGAACTTGTTCTCAGGGAAGCATGGCATCCAGACTGGCAGGTTTCTTTTATCCTGTTTCAGTTCAGTAAAAGCCTCAATTAACTCCACATTAATTATTAAATCAGAACAATGCGTCTCTGGGTTCCAACAGCTAGATTCTGTTACTGCCGTTTCTTTGGGGAGCTGGGCTAGTTTTACAACTTAGGACATAAATATCTTTCTTCAAGGAGTTTCTGGACTGTTGTTTTTATTTTTCCTCTCTGTGGGAGCATTTTTAATCACAGTATCTCACACATGTGTGAAGGGAACCATCTCTGGGCCTGCTGCACCCTGAAATGCTTTACCTCTAACACATATAGCTCTTCCAGGCTCCAGCAGGTGCTAGCAACACCAGCTGTAAGAGTTCACCTCCAAAAAAGCTTTCAAATCAGGCATCTGCATGCAGCTCAGGAAGCTGGGAGCATTTGCATAGCCCCTCTAAAAGGCACTGCATCCTTGTAAATCGGAGTTCTGGGATTCCAGGCATACGTTATTCTTTAATACTCTAATTCTACAGATGCTGCCCAACCTTCTCCTCTCAGGATGGCCTAGGAATTCTACTGCATAAGGCCAGTCCAGAAATACTTGCCTCTTTTTCACTCTATTGTTGCTAGACATACACACTTAATGGATGTTCTCTTGCTCTTAATAGTTCACTGATGTATGCCACTGCGCACAGCCAACCCTCCCCATACATAGCCTGCTCATACCATCATTATCCCTTTTCTTGGCACAGGCAAGCGGGACAGAAGATAGCAATTCTCTTTGCATTTGACCAGTATGCCAAGGCCCACCACAGGGAGAGAACACAATGGGTTGCAAGATCCCAAACGGGCCCATCCAGAGCACCTCTCCTACCCTTCTGCTTTGCAAAGCACCATGCAGTACTAACTCAGTACAATGCTGAGAACCTCGAGGCACCCATCTTAGCTCAGGCCTCTTTGAAAGGTTTTTGGTTTCTCAGCCCTAACCTCTCTTACTTCCCCAGTACATTTTCAAGCTCTTGCTCTTGTAGATGAGTCAGCTCCCACTTTCTGCTTTCTTGCCCCACGTTTTTGGAGATAAATGGCTTTCCTAATGGAAAAAAATCCCCCGGGGTGCTCAAGGAAACCTTGCTGGGAAGGTCTTTTCTCTGCCTTCTACCCTTGAAGCTCTAGCTTCCTGAGGTATAGCTCTGGCACTGCAAAATGCTTTTATTTCTTATGTGAATTTAATGTCTTTGGGAAAGAGCCAACCTGATAGAATTGAATGCAAAGGATTTATAGCCACCAAACACGTGCAGCAAGGCCTGGCAGAACATCTACACACTACCTGAACTGGAGAGAACAGATTCCAGGGGTCAGAGGGCCTTCATTTCCCAAACAGGGAAGTCTCCAGATATATCGATTAAGAGAAAAGCCCTTCTCTCTGCTTCCAGCCTTTTCTTCCTCCACCCATTCTCTCTCTCCTCTCTTTCCCCTGTGGCAAGCTTTTGCTGCTCTACTCATTGTGTGCAGAATGAATGAAAGTGATTAGAAGCCCCTTGGACCATGGTCACAGCTGAAAAGAGGAGGAACAACTCCACAGGCTTCTCTGTCAGTTGTATGGCGCTCCTAATCTCTCAAGTACCTTGTCTGACAGAGGGAGTGGCAGGGGGAAAGACGTGTGAGGACTCCAGGGACACACTGCAGCGCAGGTCAGAGAGCTGGAAACAGAGAAGAAGGAAAAAGAAGGGATGGGAGATACAGGAAGAGAGAAAGATGAAGCAGGGAAAAGGGCATCTCAAATGAGACTTTCTCATTTACACTGCCCTTCACCTGCCACCTCTTCTGCCAAGAAGAAGAGGGGATAACAGTGTTCTCCAGTCTTTCCCTCTTCCCAGACAGCATGAAATCACTGGGCATAAGGTAATGGTTTCCAGCCTGCACTGAGCTGAGACCTAAACTGTCTTCCTACCCTGCGCCAATTGTTCTCTTTTGCTTGCCTCTGGGATATTACATGCAATGAACTGGTCAGAAAGGAAGGGGAAAAAGGGCGTCCAGTATGTGCCACCATGGGGAGAGCTTCGATGCTGTGCACAGTAGGAAACTGCAATTGGCCTGACGGTCTCTCTTTATTTTAATAACAGAAAACGGTGGGACTGTGCATGTTAAAACAAATGTACAGAAAAATAGACCTAAGTAGATAAGTAAATTAAACAGACATCTCTGAGCGGGCAGCTGGTCAATCTGCCCTCTTTTCTCTCTCCCTTTGCCGCTTGGATTTCTTTTTCTATTTAGACTGGGGGAGCTGGCTCAACTTCACGCTTGACCTGCAATGCCACTGACAACATTTGATTTGTTTTGCCTCCGTTGGAAAAGACTGCAATTTTTGCTGTAGCAAACTTACTGTCTCTCAGCCTGTGCGTCCTTCAGTGATGCCATTGACCACAGCTCTCCAGTTCTTTTGGTAGAAAGGATGAGGGGGAGGGAAAACCTAAAGCAAATACATTTGTATTAGAGAAGCTGTTTCCATGTGTCTTTTCAAAAAACAGAATAGGCTAGAAGGGAAATGGCAGTAAATATTTTATTCTAATTTTGCAAAAGTAAATGCTGTTGCTTGCATGCATGAATGTGTGTGTGTGTGTGTGTGTGTGTGTGTGTGTGTGTGTAAGCTGTGCATTTGTCATCAGTGTACATCATGCTCAGAAGCTGTCCGATTTTGAAGCGTTCAGGTGTAAGGTTATCCTGTGAGGCTGCTCCCTGAGCACCGAGGACACAACTCTCTTGCTCAGAAGAAAAAGTCTCTACAGCCAGCTCTAAATCTCTAGGAGTACTTGTCTCAAAGATATGCCTAGAAGACCATAGGCAGGGCTCTGGGTCACATAAAAAAGAAAGGCAGACAAGAAGGCACACTGTGCGAAGGATGTTTGGAGACTGTGTGAACTGTGGCACAACCGCCCGCAAAAATGAGACACTAGACAGGGCTTCAGGAAGTATGAATTCAATCCCTGCTTGCTGTGCACTCTCCTGTGAGCCCCTTCAGCAATGCCCACAGTGTCTGCTAAAAATCAAGCTGTTCATCCCTGTGCTGCAGTTCTGCATTTGCAAAATCCACCTTTCAAAGGGTTTTTGGATCTTGGATGAAAGCTGCTATTATGGCTTACTATTAATTAGATGATCGTTATTATTTATCATCATGGGAGTTTTTTGGAGTAGTTGTATGAAATAAGAATATCAAGTTTGACCTTATATACTTAGAGCTCAGCCTAATCCAACATAAAAATATTATTTATCACACATACATTTTGCTACCTGTAAAGTTCCTCAGTGTAGGAGCCTCTTTGTTCTGCAGAAAGCTTGCAACGCTTCAAAATGCCATGAAGTAAACCCATTAATAAAATAATAATAATTATGAATAATCATGATAAATACCAGCCAAGTGATCTGCCTATGGATAGCAAAATCCATACGTTATTGCCAATTTTGAGGGTAATATTAGTGGTAAGTGGAAAAGTCTCCCTAAAATGTTTAACTGTGTTATTTCAATACCCACCTTCTCCATTTGCATTTATGGAAGATGGCAGGATATTGCCAGAGTTAAACAGCATAGGCAAATAGAAGAAAAATTAAGCACAAGGACAAAGGAAAATAAACATGCCTGCTGAGGTTTGTCTGCTTGAGAGAACTCCACACGCTCACCCCGGAAAGTGGAAAATGTCCAATATAGGGCCCCATGATACTCCTACTTACACTAAATTTATGTCAGTGGAAATCCTCTGGCACCAGTTGAATTGCTCTTCCGCACCAGCATGACAACAGAATCTGGTCCAGGTTCTCTGCAGGGGAAAAGAGAAAAGAAACAAGCTGAACGGTTTTCATTTGTATCTGTGCCTCACACTGTGCCCTATTTAAAGCAAGGCAGCAGAGAACTATTCTCCCTTCTGTTAGTGGGGTCTAATAAGAGCAGTAAGAACTGTTCACAGCTACAGCTTTAATCTCAGCATCTAATAGCATAGGCATTTCTCAGTCAAGCATCATACCATTCGTTCCTGTATGGCAGGTAAGGATGGTTATCCCCATTCTACAGAAGCGCAAACTGAGGCCCATGGGGAGTTGGTAGCAAAGTTAGGAATACGGTCAAGAAACCCTAATTCTACGCCCCTTGGTCCAACTTGCATATGACACTCTTTTTAGCCCAGGTAAACACACTGTTTGCTAAGCAAATGAAGGAGAGATATGCTTTGCTGCCAGGTGTGAAAGTAAGTGGGTAGCAATCAAGCACAAAATGACAATCTTCAGGTCAGTCAAGTTGGTCATTTTGATGATGAACGAATTTACAAGGAGAGCCCCATAATCTTAGTTTAGCAACGCCCAAGCACAAAAGGGAGCAACCTTCCCTAGGCTGCAGAGAACAGGGAAGCTCACGCAGTGGACCTTATCCAGAACTGCCCAATGACAACGGGGACATTTTTCACTAACCCTTGTTCGTTTCTACAGGCATCATGCCTCAGAAAATGCCAGCAAGATGCTGGGACCCACCAGAAATGGACCTGCAGGAGCAAGAAAAAGGTCCTGCTATCTTATCCTAGTCCAGGAATCCACTTGCACGTGATTAATTATTTGTACTGTTCAGTAAACACGAGTGCCTGTAGTGTGGACTGAAGCAGAAGGGCTGTTCTAATTGAAAACAGCCAGCATGTTTATTTCTAATTTTTTCCCCATTGTCTATTTTGGTTCTTATAAAAACCAAAGTTGGGATCTGTGTGCCTATGGCCTCCTCACAGCAGCTGGCTTGCTTGTAAAGCCTCTGCATCAGCCAGAAAGACATACCAGATGTATGGTTCATAGGGCATTTCCAATAAGAGAAACCACCCCTCGATGGGAAGGCCAGCCCAAGGTCTTTGTGCCCGGTGTATACAGGTGGTTCCCCAGCTTGGCTGTGGACAGGCCAACAGAACAGGGAGTGCTTTGATGACAAAAGCCCATAGACGCTTGAGCAGGCAGATCTGATTATCCAGACACACGCCTGGAGAGGCAGTGACCACTACTCCAGCTCAGAGCTGGGAACGGTGGCTGCACTTCACCTTGAATCCACCCATATCCTCCTTGCCAGCTCCCATTCAAATCCATACAGGCCCTTTTCTTTAGATCCTCCCACTTCACAGAACAAGGATGGCAAGGCAGAGTCTGCCCATGAGCCTCCTGTCGCACGCTGTCATGTCCGTGGAACAGCAGGAATTTTTTTTATGTACTGTAGCTAACGTAGTATGAGAATTGCAGTCACTTGGCCTTTTCTATGTGTGCAGCAGTAATACACACATACACTGCAGATACCCTGCAGTGGCTTCAAATTTCTAGTTCCCTGCTACCTCTGAGAAAGAGTGAAAATAACAACCAGTTTGGTATACTAATGGCCAGACTAATTTTCACTGTTCTCTTTGATAATTCTGAGCCATCATCAAGCAGAGTAGCCATTTAGCAATTATGATCACCAAGCACACTGTGTTGGAGAAGTTTCATAGGCAGAGGTTGGTTTCTTTTTGTCTTCTTTTCTTTAATAATAAAAAAAATGGAAAGCAAACAAGAAAGCCCTTTCAACCCACAGCAAGAGTAACAGACTCCCCCAACAAAACACTGCCCAAGAATCACACCTCGTAACCTCAAATTGATAATTCCTGAAGAAATGAATATGACCTAGAAGAAGGAAAAAAGAATCAGTAACATAAGCCAAGAGTTAAACAGGAGAGGAAAGAACAAACTCAGTACAAGGTAGAAAGAAGGGGGGAAGGAAGCACAAATGTTACTTTTGCAAGGGATCATATAACACCAATTACCGATAAGGCATCAGGAAGGTGGTGTAGCAGCTGTGGAGCAGACCACAGGAAAATACCACTGTGCAGGTTGATGGGAATGCCTCTTCTACTTAGTATGAGCAGCAGGGACACCGACCTCCTTTGTGTTTTCCCTCCCCAAGCAGCCTTAGTTCTTCCTTTGTTTTGGAGAAGCTGCTCCAAGCTCTGCTTCCTTCTACCCACTCCCCCAAATCCATGCTCTGTCCTCCCTACTGACTTCCATTCTCTGAAGAGCAGCTCCTATCCCTATGGCAGCTCTTGCCAGCAGAGCAGACCCCACACCTCAGCTCCACGCGGAAAGAGGGATAACGCGCACCTCTGGAACAAGAGTCAGGTTGGAGCTGGGCCCTGACTTGCAGGGCAGCTGTTCTCAGCAGGGCTCCTCTGCTATGGGACCACTCTTCTCGGTTTAGACCCCAACAGGATGTGCTTAGCAGCACACTAACTCCCAATACCCTGGTTAGCCCCCTTTTCTCACTAGCCCCATGTACTGTCAGGGGATCACTGTTCAGTTCTACCGTACTTATGAAGAACAGAGATGTAACCTTTAACGGTACTCTGCAACAAGAGAGGGCAAAGAACCACTATACCTCTGCATTAGGAGTGCTGAGCTAGGTAGATAGCCCCAAGAGAGAAATCTGCACACTCCCAAATCTAAATTCTCCTGTGCTAAGGGACTGCGGAGCCAGCCAGGCAGGTTAGAGGGGAGAGCTATTAAAACCATCTGAACTTGAGCAATACTGGGCAGCTTGTACTTTTCTTCATTTTTTGTAGCTGCGTACAGTCCCAGCTTTTTCTTTTCTTTTTGGCACAGGACTGATTACATACCTAGTGCCTGAAAAAAAGCGGGAATAGTGAAGGATTAGGAATACCTAATTTATGGCAAGATTAGCTGGACTTTTATCCTGCCTGACACAGAGAACTAGACTGAACAATCAAGAAGGACATTCCAACCCCATTATCTCTTACTCCTGCTATAAAGAATGCAGAAATAAAGGACTGCACCAAAAAAAAAAAAGGTTTATGACATTCACTTGAGATATCCCAGCCTGTTACCAGAAGTCAGCATGTTTGTTGAATAATTCCACAGTAAAAAATATTTTCTAAAAGAACTAAACAAATAAAAAGTCCAATGCTTCTCTTGCTTACATCAGTTTTATATCAAAACAATGCTAATGAAAAGAGGACCAAACCCAAAGAAAATATTTGGTAAGATCTCATTCCACTGCCAACGAAATTTACCACTAAGCTTAATGGAGTAGGACCGAGATCTGAAATACCTACAACTTTCATGCAACCATATCATTTAAAGTTCTGCTCAGATGCTGGCTGATGAAGTTAGCCTTTCTGTGACCAGAACAAATGATTCAGGTGCTAATCCAGTACAGATTTCCCTGGGTGACCCCAGGCGTGCTGCAGCTCTCTACGAAGTAGGGATAACAGCACCAGTCTACCTTGCACGGCTCTTGGGGAAATGCGTTCACAAGTTTGCCATGGGTTCAGACAGAGTTAGTGACAGAGCCACACAAGAACAAGGGACAGACCCAGCAGAAGGTGAGAGTACAACAGGGAAGCACTGTGAGCCTGATTTTCATGGGGAACCGTGGGTCCTGAGCAGCAGCACAGAAAGACAGACACAGACACACATACACACACACCGTGAAAGGTTTCTCTCTTGGATTGAGAATTATATGTTTTGAGTCTTTGTCCCTGCACTGGGCTTGACACGGGCATTTTAAACATGCAGATCCGGCAATCTAGCTAGAGTAGCAGAGCTGGGGGTAACAGCAGCGCCAGTTTCCACTGTGAAGCACTTGCTCACGTGTGAACACCAAAAGGCCGGAGGAGCAGAGCAAACCCGTGCCCGGCCGGCCGCGCAGGGGTGAATCCAGCCGGGGCAGCAGCCCTCCGCCCCCCGCGCCGCC